CCAACCCATCATTGAGAAAGTATTTGTGTTAAGCGCCATGCAACTGTCAATGGACACGTGTTGCCATCAGTGACTGACATTATATCGAAATGGCTTGGTATGCACATGACCACTCGATCCACCCATGTTAAGTTACAGTTGAAGAGCTCACGCACTGCTAGCACCACTAGGGGTGTGGTTTTCAACAACACAGCCTGCTTCACAAATGCCATGCTGCAGTGTTCTGCACGCAAAGTGGAGTTCGCCGTCTGCTCGCGGTTCCCCGGGCGCCAAAGAGTGAAGGGCCCGCGAAGCAAGCAGCGTAAGCGCTGAAACAGGCTAGCAAGGATCAGCGCCATGACACCCTTCACGCCAGGCTGGCTATGTTTTGACGGACGTGCTGGACAACACCCCACAGCGTTACAAAGCACACCCTGGCGGAGTTCGTGACGGGACGTGGATTATGTACGCCAGCCGGCGGGCTTCCGAACCCGCTGGACCGTATAATCCAGTGCCGTTCGGACCCGGTCATCACGTCTGTTTGCAGCGCGGAGGTCCGGGCGCACCGGATTGCACGGACTGTGCCCGCGTGTTGACGTCGACAGCGACCGCCAGATGCCTGTTTCCGGCGCGTTCCACTAACGACTCGGGCGTGCCGCTACCGGTACGTGGTGGTTCCCCAACGGGGTCATCCGTGGTGGAGGACAGAAGCTTCCGCTTACCGCCCAGCGAACTGCAGCGTCGGCTTGCGGGATACGTTAGTGGCCATTGCGTCGCCGCCTGGCGTTGACTGACTTCACTTGGCCCAATTAAGTCTGAGGCCACGCAAACCGTGTCGATTGTGGTCGGTCTAAAGGTTGTTGATGGTTTTTATTCGGAGGGAGGAGCGCTTTAACGCGCACTGGGAGCGCTCGTGCTAGGGTGGGCGCGGCCGGATGGCGGCCAGCAGATTTTGATCAAACGACGTCAAATCCTCATTGAATCTGTGAAATCTTCACATCACCCGTCCTTAATGCTCGCCTAACGACCATCTACCTTCGGCGTAACATCTAGCGTGTACAACAAACACACGCGTGTACGCACGTAACGCAAGCGTAACAAACACACGCGTACGCATAGCATCACACGCGTAGATGTTACCCCGACGTTGCGCCCTACAGCAGCCAGCGTTTAGTATAAAATTTTGGATCCCCATTTTGGATCTTACCTAGATACACCAACGCTTAACGGGCCTTACATTAACATACGACTATTTGCAAAACACGGGACCTTTTACGTAACTTTGGTGGGCATAGACACGCAGCCCGAAGAACTAAAGCAGTCGCATAGCTACGGGGGTGTATGTGGCCGAGAACTGGTTGCCGCCTTGAGACGCGGCATCATTCATCTGTAAAGCACGGGGTCCTGCCCACCAAATGAAAGCAGGATAACATGTCATGCTTGTTAACGAGGCAGGTCAAAAAGTGTACGGAAAGCCTCCGTCCTGTCCTCCCGCCACAAAACGACAGGCCGTTAAAGACTGTTAATGACTGCCGGCTGATTTCTCCAGCTCCCGTTCTTCTTCTAAACCACCATGCTTTTTATCCAGACAACTGTGTGCTACCAGGCGACGTTTCAGGCATAGTGTACATTTCATATAGGTGCAGGTGTGCAGTTGGAGGCTGTTCGTGAAGACGACTCATCTGGCTTTCCTGTGCCGGACGCATATCGTTGTTACCCAGGACCAAACGCTACTTGAATGTGACTGATGAGCACGCCGGATGCACGGCAGTCAGCTAACTGCTGGAAGCAGAAACCGGTGTCTCGGACGCGGTACAGTGCGGTGGCGTATAGGCAATACATTTGTGCGGTCAATGTTTGTTTCTTTTCGTTTACAGCTGACATGCTGAGTCATGTCGAAACAATTTAAGCCGAATATAGATACAAAATTGTACAGTGAGACCAACTGCAGAGACAATATTCGTGCTCTTTAACTGGCACTGAAATATGTGCCGATTGATCCAACACTTGGCAACTAAGATTAAATTCTGCTAAATGTCATGTGGTACCCTTCACCTTGCGTAAGGTTCCATTTTTACAGCATACAGATAAGCCAGCATTGCATTGGAGCGTCGGGGGGAGTTGCGTGGCCCGTGCGTAGACTGGACTACATGCCATTTCGGTATCCTACCCGGTTCCTGCGGTTCCAAAGGCATCGCCGGTAGCACGACCAAACGAGTATACAACCTTCCCAGCCGCAGCACGCGGCCGCCGGCCTGCCCAGTGGCGCCATGCTGAACCGAAAGCCGGATCATCGGATCATCATCAAGCCGGTACGGCCGAGCTATGGGACCGGCAGTGGCGCAATACCATCTCACGGGCTGAAACGCATCCAGCGCGCTCGCTCTACCTGGGTTGCTTTAGTCCAAGACTAGGTTTTCCTAAATTCAGCTACGGCTATTTGTTAACACACTTCAAGGCCTCCTCCATAAAATGTTGCGCCATGCTGCACGTTCCCGTGTTCATTCATAAACGAGCACCAGGCAGGAGCAATGTGTCTCCTGACCTCCGACTTGTGCCATTCGCTCATGTTGCAAACAGTATATTTGTGCCTTGCATCGTGTTCATCGCATAATCAAGGCAAGCCAATACCGATGTGGGCCTAGTGCAATACATGCTATTAATTATTGCATATAATCTCGTTTTGCTTCTGCTCTCCGTCGTCAACCCACACACAAATCTTCGGTTGACATCTTCACTATTCATGGTGTTATCTTTCGAGTTCCTTCCCATTTTATGATTGGCAGCCTTGCTTTGAATCTGTTGGGCAATGTGTCAAAGCTCGAGCACTTGCCAAATAATTTCAACTTTTCATTTTGGTGTCTTATTTTGTAAGCAAAATAGCAGTGGCATCGGACTTGTCACGCCACGTTCTTATGTAGTGATGCGTAGGATACTGGCTCTCCATATTTTAGGCGTCACAGTTCCACGACAGAAGTGCTACAACAAAACTCCTTCCGACAGAAGTGCTTCAACATTCTCCTTCTGCCAATACTTATACACGACATTGGTGCTACGTCACAAACCTTATACTGCACAAATTTATATATGGCGTTGCTTCTACTCCAAAGACTTATACGAAACATGAGTTATGCAGCAAGGACTTGTGCCCAAGTATTTTCTGTGGAAGTAATTACTGGTATATGTTTTACATTATGTGTTTTATTTTATTTACATTTATTCATATATATATATATATATATATATATATATATATATATATATATATATATTACAGCATGTGTTTTGTCGTATGCTTCTCACGCCGTGTATGAGTTTTTTCAGTAAAAGTAATGTCGCGAGTGAGAAAAAAACTGTATGAGTCCTTGCTGCGTAAGCAATGGCGAGTCAAAGTTTTTGCAGCGTAACTTTGGTCGTGTAGCACTCAAGTCGTGCATAAGCCGTGCAGTAGAAGTAATGCCGCGTACAAGTAAAGTCTGTATAAGTGTTTGCAGTAGATGTAAAATCGCGTATGCGTGATGTTGCAGCACTCCTGCTGATAAGAGTTTTCGCCGTAGCGCTAATGTAGTGGCATCGTGGCCAAACGCGCATGGCGGTTTTTTTGGCTGTGTGTTGACACAGCCTCATCGTGGTCGTCGCAAAACACAAACCAAACTAACAACTTAAAAACTAGAAGTAATCGCGAGATCTCATTGAGACCACTCCAAGGGTGTTTTTTTGTTAAGCTCTATCTCCATTGGTTTAGAACCACCAGAGGGTCTTGTAGCGACCCCCCCCCCCCCTCCCCTACATCTCTACCAGTCTGCCTTATGAAAAATCTCAAATCTTCCAGAGATATTGAGGTCCCAAATCTCCCAGATATCTCTTCCTCTTTGCCTTACAGAAGTCTTGCTGCTGTAAACAGCGTATAGGAGTTCAGCTGTTGGTACGGGTCCCGCGCCGAAATATAAGGCTGACGTTTTAAAACAGAAAAAGAAATCGAGCTGCATGTAAGTGGGATTGTTAATAACATTTTGATGTACGTTTTATTCGCAGCTTTTATTTTATTTGCAGACTCCACTCCACGAACAGAACGTTTTATTGCAGTGGATGATATAGGTCATCAGAGTTAATGTGGTGTCCAACTGCCTAGTCTTGAACTAGACATGGCTTTGGCGGGGATTATTTCGTCATCAGAAAGGTCAGGGTTTTTCATTGTTCTCCATAATCGGCCTGATATTATCATGACCTCATTCACGTTAGGGGCCACTACTAACGCATACCATTTATTTATTTCACAAGAGTGTAAGGATTGTAGGCAGCTGTGAGCTATATAAAACCCTGTCCCTGAGCCTTCTAAAATTTACCTTAATTGTTGCAATCAGTGCTCGCGTTTTACGCGGTTACGTTTTCACGCAAAAAGTCCCGATTCATGATCATGATCGCGGCATATCGGTTTCCCTTTATCGTAAAAGCCTTCGATTTTCACGCGCATCTCGCTAGCGTGCCCACTTAATTATTGGTGTTACAGCACGCCCCGCCGTTCATGCGATTCTCCTCTGCACGAGCAGGGTGGCGCTCGTGAGCACTGCACGGAGCCGGTCCAGTAGCGTGTTCGTCGATGCTGAGTCGCACACAGCCTGGCTGCATGGACGATCAGGTCCTGACTCCACGTCAGGCGTGTTGCGAGAACCGGAAGTTCTTCCGGAAGTCTCCTGAGCCTCACCTCCGCCGTGCTCAACCGCCGTTCAAAACTTTTCAGAACACGAGCCGGCTTAACATTTTCAAGCCGACAAGGACGAATGTGCCCGGTCAACTCCCGACAAGAATGCTATACTAGGCCGAAGACATCACACAACTTCTTCGTATACAAAGAGATTCATTACGTAAAATATGGGGGAAGTTGGCGCGGGTGACAGAGTAGCAGAGCACGACAGAATCGCCTTCGGTCCTGGTGTCTGACTAGATTGCAACACTACATCGACGGGTGCGATACAGCTTCCGCTCTCGAAACGCTCGCCATGCCCACCAACCAACACATTCTAGAATCTCTGATATTGCTCTTCATACCCCACGCACACCAACATTAGGTACACCCAGAACGTCGCCCGCGCCTGCTGGCGGGCGACGCAGGACACAGGCGCAACAGTGGCGTCCACACCGGCGATGCTTAGACGTCCGTACCGGCGGCAGCGCCCACGTGTGTGACCACGGTCGTCGGCAGCGGCGGTAACACGGGCGCGCCTCGCTGCCAGGGCCGGCGGCGGCCGGCGTCGGCCGCCTCCAGCGCAGCGGCCAGCTCGGCGCGCGAGTCCCTGGAAGAGTCAAGCTGTGCGTCCGCCTCGGACGAGGTGGACGGCTCGCGGCGGCTCGGCGCGCCCGACAGGCGACGGCCGGCCCAGTCGGCGTCGGCGAACGGCTCCTGCTGGACAGAGATCCGGCGATCGTCCCAGCCGGCCACGCCCAGCTCCGGCATGGGCAGGCCGTAGTCGGCCGGGTAGCCGTACGCGGCCGGGTCCAGCCGTTCCGGGTCGGAGCCGCTGGTAGACGGCAGCTGCTGCAGCTCGTAGCTGTCGTCGGCTAGCGGGTTGCCGGTGACGCCACCGGCGTAGTACGGCGGGTACGCCGCGGACGGCGGCGGCGTGGCGGCGTCTGCAGTCGGCAGCAGGTCGGGCGCCCGCACGAACACGGCCGACTCGACGATGCTGCCCGTGCTGGTGCTGTAGCGCGGCGGGAAGCCGAGCTCGGTCAGCCGCGGCGGCTTCTCCAGCGGGTTCACATCGTCGTCGGGCGCCGTCTCCACGCTGACCACCACGCCGCGGCCGTCGACCGGCGGGCGCGGCTTGCTCTCTTTGGCGTTGGCGGAGCGCGTGCGCGCCACTGTCACCAGCGCGGCCACCATGACGGCCACCAGCAGCAGCAGGCCGACGGCGATTCCAGCGATCTGGCCGTCGCTCAGCGGCGAGAGGAACGCCAGCCGCGCGCCGACCGTCAGCGTGAAGTTGGTCTGCGCGTCACCGGCCGGGTTGACGCCCACGCAGCGCACATCGGCGGCAGCGTCCTCGGCGCGCACGCCCGGGATCACCAGCCGGCTGACGCGCTCGAAGCGGCCCTCCTCGACGATCACCGGCCGTCGGCCGCCGTCCAGCAGCGTGTTGTTGTCGACGGGTCGGCCGCGCCAGAGCCAGCTGAGCCGCGCCTGCGGCACGGCACCGATGCGGCAGGTGAGCGTGGCGTTCTCGTCGGCAGTCACCACAACCTCGCGCACCATCGGCAGCAGCTGTGGCCGGCACGCGAACTCGTTCACGCCCAGCTCCTCGAAGGAGCGGCCGGCCAGCCGCGGCGGCCCGTGGCAGCTGGGCGGCACCGGGTACGGGATGTTGTTGCGCCGCAGCCAGTCGCGCATCGGGCGCAGCCGGCAGTCGCACTCCCACGGGTTGGCGTGCAGCTCGACGTTGTGCAGCTGGTCGAGCGCGACCACGGCGCGCTCCGGCAGCTCGCGCAGCCGGTTACTGCTCAGTTTGAGGCTCTCGATGATGCGCAGCGGGTCGAAGGCGGCCGGCTCGACCTCGCCGATCTGACAGCCGCCTAAGTCCAGCTTGACCAGGCCCGGCACGGCCGCGAACGTGTCCTCGTCCACGCGTCGAATCGGGTTGGCCGCGGCCTTCAGCTCGCGGAGCGCGCCGACGGCGCCGAAGCTGCGCTTGGGCAGCGCCGTCAGCGCGTTGTCGGACAGGTCCAGGTAGACGAGGTTGGTCAGGCCGGAAAAGGCGGCGTCGTCGACACGCCGCAGCCGGCAGTCTGCCAGCAGGATCTTCTGCAGGTTGAGCAGGCCAGCGCGGCGGAACACCTCGGCCGGCAGCTCGTCCAGCTGGTTCTCGGACAGGTCGAGCACCTGCGTGCCCGGGTCCAGACCCTCGGGCACGGCGCGCAGCCGGCTGGCGCGGCACTCCACCGTCTGCTTGCCGTACTTCCAGCGGCAGGAGCAGGCGTTCGGACACTTGGCGCCGCGAGCGGGCGCCACCAGCGCCAGCGCCACCAGCGCCAACACCGGCAGCCAGCCTCGGCGCATGGCGGCCGCTGTGCACGCGCCGGTCCGTTCACACGCGGCCCGCGGTTCTCACGCGCGCCGCGGCCCACTTCCTGTCGCCGGCCGCCGCCTGAGACCGAGCCCGAGACCGAGACTGCACCGAGCCGCGCCGGCACATTGGCCCGTCCGACGACCAGCCCCCTGCCGCACGGCAATCGGAAATTCAGCCGGCGGGGCCGAATTGAACGTCCGCTATCGCCTGAAGTGGCCGCCTCACCTTATCGCCGGACCGCTCGGCGCTGCCCGAGAGCCAGCCTTTCTCCGGCGGCCGGCGCAGCGTTTTTGTGGGCGCCGGGCGCCGCCCCGGCCTCAGCCGAGTCGTTTATTTCGCCTCGCCGCGAGGAAAGGCGGCGAGAGTGACGAGCGCGTTCCCCCAGCGGCTTTCGCCGTTTTGGTGTCGGCAACGCTGTTTACTCCAGCTCCGGGTCACCGATCAGCCTGTAGTTCACCGCTCCGGGTCACCGATCAGCCTGTAGTTCACCGCTCCGGATCACCGATCAGCCTGTAGTTCACCGCTCCGGGTCACCGATTAGCCTGTAGTTCACCGCTCCGAGTCACCGATCAGCCTGTAGTTCACCGCGCAGCACGGCACTCGCGCCCGCACAAAACGCCGCCAGTAGCCTTCCCTCCCGCACTAGCAGTCCTGCAACAGAATGCCGCTCCTGCTATCGCCCGCTCTCTGTCGAAGTTGAGCCACTGCAGTCCTCGCGGCCAGGTCACAGAGTCCTGACGGTTCCGGCACCAGCCTCACTGTGCCTTGTCAGAGACGAGCCGACCCCTCAGCCACTGTCGCCAGCTCAGCAGCTCCCTCCGATCGCCGCAGCCGGCTCCGCCGCCTCCCCCACCTACCGCGGCCAGCCGACTGTCAGACAGCCGACTCCGTGCCGTACTGCCGCGCGGTTCACTTGCCAGTGCGCATGCGCGCGCCCGGCTCGCGCTCAGTCGAATTGTTCGGTCGCGGGCCCGTGCCGAGGCGCCGCTCTTCACTACCAGTGCTGGGTCCCACAGCGCCCCCACGTGCCGACCGCGGCTCGGCGCAAACGCATGGGGTCTCTGTCTGTTGCGGCGCTTCATCAATACGTAGTTCCGCGCAATAGAAGAGCTAACAATGTCGGCTTTATTGCCCCGCTGCCTGAGCGTGAGGCACGTAATTTGTTTGCCAACGGCGACTGCGTCTTTGTTTTGGATGAATAATTTGTGATTTAATAGAGCGTGCTGCTTCGGTCAGTCTAAGATCAATTGATTTCGATTTTGCGCTATTTTGCGACGCCTACAAAATACGGTACTAACAGACCTGACATGTTAGCATCATACGTGTGGCAGGGTACATTTGTTCGTTTAACTGGTTGCAAAGCATCATTTGGTGCAAGGCTCCCTCGATGCATCTTAACGTAATCTCTAGAACGCTATGACAAATAATAACATCATGTTATTTCAAAGCTTTTAAGATTATTAGTAGCGCCACGACGATTGTGTCATATTGTTCAACGTAGAAACCCCACGAATTTCCGGAATATTCCAATTCAGGTTCAAGCACCAGTTGTGCTAAGTATGCCGTTCCTGGAGGGGCTTCTTGCGCGGCGAAAATCGCTCTGCCGATCCCCTCCGGACAAGTCCATTAATCATGCGAAAGCGCCGAGCCGTTCTCCCATCTCTCCGGAGCTGATGAAGCGGACCGATCCGCATTCCAAGCCACAATTTTCAGGAACCCTGTCTCGATATACCGCCCCCCTCCCCTCCTCCCTCTCCTCCCTCATTGTGAGCCACCGGGCCCGCATGTCGGCCGCAGGGCAATGCCACCGGAATCTGGCCTGTTGCGAAGTCCGGATACCGTGTGCTGGCCTGGCTGCAGGCTGTGAGGGTTCGGTGGTACACCACTGATCTGGCGGGGAGACCCGCGGACCTGGTGGCACTTCACTGGTCTGGCGGGGAGAGCCGCGGGCCCGGCCGGTACGCGGCACCCCATCCCGCTCGCCCGGCCATGTGCTGACCCTGGTGACCTCCGCCTCTGCAGCCGGCGCCAGTGAACTCTGCCTCTGCAGCCGGTGTCAGACAGGGCAACAGGCGGCGCCCGGCTGAGGGGCAGAGGAGACCGGCGGGAGCCGCAGCGAGGGCCGCCGGCTGGCGACGCTGGAACAGGTCACAGCAGACTCCACTGGTGCTCAGCGTTGCTAAGCGAGTCTCGGGAACTTTATATTTTGGAGCGCTTGTCTGCACGAGCGAACCTGTCTTCAGGCGTGCTCATTTCCTTTGAAGTCCCTTACACCTTCCAGATTCGCAATTGCTGTCACCGAAAACGTCATTCCTTCATGAAGCTTAGACCCGGCCATTGAGCCAATCAACAAGTGGTGCGGCATGCCATGGCGAAGCTCCTAATCTCTGAACGTGTGGGCCCCCATTCATTCCGCAAAGGTGCTGCTCCCGTGAGCGACGGCGGTTTCTTGTCACCTCGGCGGGATTCCACGTCGCGAGTGGTGTCAGGTTTTGGCCTGGGCTATTGGCCTGGAGCAAATGCACCGAACTAGGCACGCCCATGATGATAACTGAGGACGGGCCCGCGCCGCCACCGTCTCCGGTGCCCCGCCATCAGTCCAAAGTGGCGTCTTCTCCTCTACTGCCCGCCGCGACGCTCCAACAGCAGATCCTCGAGCTGATTTCTGCACCCCTGCCCTGCTGCAGCCTCCCGACCGCGGTTTGGGTGATGAATGGGCCCTCCTCGACCGCCACTCGAGTGAGGTAGCTTTACTCCGACGGCCGCCTGGGAGGCATAGCTCTACCGCTGCCAATCTCCACAACAGCCACAGTTCGTGGATGGACTGAAGTCGCAGCGCATCACTGAACTGAAGCCGCGGTACACAGCTGTACTCAGTGCTGAACGGGAGGTCGCTGAGCACATCAACAACCGGGGTAAGAGTTCTGTAGCAAAGTCCGTTGCGGGCGGGAATGGTTGACCCACGGCGACTGCAGTGCCGCAGAGTGGGGGGATTTATTACCAAACAGTCGGCATGCCGGCGTGACAGGCGACATCCCGCAAACAACGCTGAAATTAATGACCGGCGACGGTTTGATTGAGCCGTTAAGTGGCATGGTGCTGGCGTGCAGCCGCGGCCTGCAAGCTGGCGCGGCGCCGCGGGTCGGGCGGCGAGTCTCGCTGCAGGTGAGACGGCCGCAGCCAGACGCCGGCATCCGATCGAGAGGGGATGCAGCGGCGAGTCTCGCTGCAGGTGAGACGGCCACGGCCAGACGCCGGCATCCGATCGAGAGGGGATGGAGCGACGTCGGCGGCGAGTCTCGCTGCAGGTGAGACGGCCACGGCCAAACGCCGGCATCCGATCGAGAGGGGATGGAGCGGCGTCGGCGGCGAGTCTCGCTGCAGGTGAGACGGCCACGGCCAAACGCCGGCATCCGATCGAGAGGGGATGGAGCGACGTCGGCGGCGAGTCTCGCTGCGCCGCCGTCAGCTCGCACCAAATACAAAACTGTCGGCTCCGACGAAGATGGATCGTCACGCCTGATGCGTGGACTGATTCGGTGGCGCCCCGGCGAGCCTGGTCTGAAGTGACGCGGGCGCCGAGCTGGCGGCGGGCCTCCGGGGTATGTGGACGCCAGCGATGTGCTGGGCCGTGCAGCCCTGAGGTACCTGGAGCCGTGTCTTCGACGTTAGCATCTGCAACAAAACACAACATGAACTGCAAGCAGTTGCAAGAAAGAGTCTTAGACAGCTGCAAGGATAGGTGAGTTGTAAGCGAGGACTCGAGGAGCTGAGACGCCTTCAGGCTGCTGGTAGCTGAGTTACTCTCGGGGCGCTGAGAGCTGAGTCACATCCATCGCCGTCGAGACCTGGGCTACATCAGCCGCCTGAGAGCTGACTTATCGTTGGCGGCGCTGAGAGCTGAGGTGGAGCCTGGCGGGCTGCTGAGGCCTCAGTGGCACCAAAGCTCCAGGCAGCTGAGCCTTACTCGGGACACCATGGACGATTTGCTAGGGTCGGGATGAGTTGAGACCTGGGTGCTCCGCATGAGACTTCTGAGAGATGGGTCGGTGTCCAGGGCGCGGAGAGCGGAGCTCCAGCCCGGGACCGCGATCTCGCATTACCGGGAACCCGACCACGCCTTGCAGGTCTATCCTGAGCCAGACGGCATGTCGCGCGGCAGACGATTAATGTGGCCTACTGTCGACGGAAAGAACAACGACAAATAGAGGAGGCAAGCCGGCTTGCGGTAGTAATGATCCCAGCCGTCTGACGATGACACCCATGGTAATAATTTACGGGCGTTTATATTGGACTGTCAATATGGTGTGCACATGGAAGGCGCACTGATGAAATGTTTTTTTTTCAGAAGAGAATAGGGGTGTCTGAAGGTTTCGCCAAAAATAGCACTTTAAATGTCATGCCTCGTTCATGATTTTCGTACAAATCCTCGTCTACGTAATTCTAAATCATACTCCTTAATCTCCAGAGTACGTGCAAAAACTGCGTGAGTCAACAATACTTATCCAGCACGAAAATGGGGTTAAGTTGCATGCTGATCCCAAATTCTCCCAACTTTCCCTGTTTTCCAAATTCCTTTTAAATGTGCTGAAATAAAGGTTCATCGTGCTGTCTTGGACAATTTACTGTTATCCCTTGCCATCGCTTACAGTTAGTCATACTGCGAATTCTTTAATGACCTCTCGTCGAAGACGCCCGTTCACGATATTACGGCCGTCACCCCGGGATCGTTAAAACATATGATGAACTCCGTTCGCGTTTTCACTGGTCTGGCGTGCACCGTGGCATTGTTCGGCACTTGAAAACTTGCGCACCGTATGACAGGTGAAAATCGCAGAGATCGATACCTTGTACAAAACACACAGATTGAAAAGAAACTTTCCAAATTGCTGCAATGGACACTTCTGGATTATTCCCACAACGCCACAATGGTAACCGGGCATCATTGACATAAACTACACGTTTTCTGGGTGGGCTGGGCCATTTGCCACCGAATCAAACAAAGCTGAAGCCGTGGCATAAATCCTTGTTGAGCATATAATTACACATCGTGTTTGTCCCGGTGATATTGTATCTAACAACGAGGCCGAATTCTCCAATGCAGTCGCCCAACAAATTGCTACATTCTTTAACATCAAACATATTCGTGCTTCAATGTACCATTCTGAAGCAAGCGGAAACTATGAGCAGTACAAACGCGTTCAAAACGACTTGCTAACCAAACCCGTCAGCCGTTCTCAACGAGACTGGGACACCAAAACGTCCGCCATTCTTTCACCATAAACGGCAGCAAAAAAAGTGCAAAATTACGTCCATTGTCCATTATGTATGCCCGCCGTCCAGTTCTACTCATGAACACATTTCTCGCTCCAAAATTCAGATATCAGGGAGATGAGTATTTCCAGACAGTGCTGGAAAACCTTCATCGCTTTTGTCACCAAGTTCCGCATCACCTGGTCTTAAGCCACAAGAAAAACAACTTTCTACGATATACGATACTTACTACCATATACGATCAACTTACTACGATCTACGTACTACGATCAGTTTGCAAGGACTGTAAAAATGTAAGTTGGCGTATTTTATGGCGTATTTTATTGGCGTATTTGGCGTATGGCGCATGGCGTATTTTAGGGATCCTTCGCTTATGGTGACAACTCGTTACCAAAACTCACTCGTCATTGGAGAACTATTCATTGCGTGCTTCAGTCTATTGGTGATGCCACGACCGTAGCTAAAGACCAATTGACGGGTGAAACCGAAATAGTCACGTTAAAAATCTGCGTTTATCTGACCCGGATACTCCATGGCAGAATGGGCCAAATAACAAGCCTAGTAACATCACTCAAAATTCTG